GGGGAATTCTGCATGGCCAGCGGCTGCTGTCAGGGACCTTTCCCGCCGGCTCCTCAGGCCTGATTGGCTTCCGGACTGCAGAGGGCGTTTCTTCACGCTGCAGGCCTCATCACTCGGTTGTGCCAATCAGCGCCCGCACCCGCCCTAGAGTCGCCCTCAAGTGACCTGCTCGGCGCGTAAATGTGCACTCTGACTGGTATCGTCAATGCATCCCCTCGACTGCTCAATCCATGTGGCCAGTAGGATTGTGGCTAATCTTGGGTGATGTGCAGTGGAACTTCGAATCACATCCCTCGACGTGCTGGGGACGGAACTACTGAGGTAGGTGATATACTTGGGTACGTACGTGGATGTGAACACTGAAATAGTACGCAGAAGGACCGAAATAAGCAGGAAACATACTAGAAATCTTCCGTTAAGATGTGGAAATGGGAGGGCGCATCCCAGGTGATGTCCTTGAACCTTGAACATAAACCGAAAGATCCATCACTACATGTGCCGTAAGGCCGCCCATAATCGTTACCATGATCTGAATTGCGCTCACCCTTCGCGAAATGCACAGGGTGGCGCTACATAGTACAATATACTATGGCGGTGTAAATACCGCGAGTACTCAGGTTCACAGTAATACTCCCACGGGCATTTCCAAACTGATAATATACATTGGTATCATGATGAATGGGAACATCATCACCGTGTACACAACCAGAGACGTTTCCTTTGGAAAGGCCGGATATCCAAGATGGTCGCAGTATAAAGTACATTTATCGGCGATTTATTTGACACTTACAGGAGCTAACGATCTGAACGGTCGGTCACAGTCGGAGCTGGTGAGACAACAATTCTACGCCCACCCGGTAAGAAAGTACACGGAATATGGAGTCCAAAATAGCCCTTCCACAGATGGACACGGCCTGTGCATGCAATGTGATGTGATTAAGTAGAAGCTGCGCTGTGACTGGTGTCCTTCGGGACTAGTGGAAGGTCCCGGGGCTTAGACATTGCGGGGTGGTCGAGGAGCTCGGACGGTGATGAGATTTTGCCTCTTCTTTGGATGTGATAAGAAAAGCGTCGGGAGACGCAGGCATTCGGCCCATGCTAATCCTGGCGGACTGAGACTGACTGAAATTTATCACCCAACAAGATGCCTTGCGCATGGTAGGATTCAGTCTGTGTCACGCTCGGAAACAATGGCATTGTGGTCATCCAATATGAAATCGAATGCTCCTCAATTAGAGCCAGAGTGCAACTGTACATTTGGGCCTTTACGTTGCTTTCAATGATGCCTACGAGACTCCCAAGAAGCTCTAGACTTCGCGACAGGGTACTGCCATTTCCAGTTAGACGGACGGAGATGCCGTGCAACGCGACAGGCGGTCACGGGTAGATCACATGATAACGGAACTGCTTGGCTCTGGCTATCGCGGTAAAATATCGGCCCGTGATCTGATTTTCCGCCTTCTCTAAAATCTTCTGGGTTCAACAATATCGATAGCAACGAATATCGATCCCATTCTCCGCTGCTTTACTTCTTCTCCCTGTTAAGCAGTCAAGGCCTATTTTCAACAAAATGGGTGTGCAAAAGAAGACTCGCAAGTTCGCGCAGGTATGATTACAAGACTTTGCAGTCGATACGGAACGGAAACTGATCCTACTGAATCTATAGATGAAGCGCGCCATCAAGGCCCGCGATGAGCGACTGAAGAAGCCGGAAGCGAAGAAGGAGACGCCCAAGGAGGATCAGCTGACTCGTCAAGTCACCCAAGCCCCTTCGAACATGTTCTTTGCCGCAAACACTGCCCTTGGCCCTCCCTACCACGTGCTGGTCGATACCAACTTTGTTTCCCACGCTATCCGAGCGAAGCAGGATCTACTTACTTCGATGATGGACCTGTGAGTTGCACACAATATCTGGGCTTTGGACATCTGCTAAGACTAGCTGCAGGCTCTACGCGAAGTGTGTTCCGACCTTCTCAGACTGCACCATTGCGGAGTTGGAAAAACTGGGTGACAAGTACCGCCTCGCACTTCGGGTTGCCAAAGACCCTCGGTGGTCTAGGGTCAAGTGCTCTCACAAGGGTACCTATGCAGATGACTGTATCGTGGATCGGGTGAGTGGTTACTCAACCCCCTTCGATTGGGGTAGCACAGCGCGCTAACGGCTCTTGTAGGTGACGAAGCATAGAATTTACATTGTGGCGACCAACGATCAAGATCTGTGTCGCCGTCTGCGCAAGATTCCTGGTGTGCCCATCATGAAGGTTGCAAGGGGCAAATTCACCATCGAGAAGTTGCCCGATGCTTTGGATTAAGCGTTGGTTTTTCGGATTGCTGAAAGAAATGGCAAAAGAGAAGATGTGTGTTTGATACCACGCCATAGCACGACGTTTCACGAAGATATACCCAATTACCGCTTACTAGCGGACGCGGATTCAGTTCGTCTTCAGCCTACAAACGGGGAGCTCGTCTGGTCCCGCTGCGTCCGAGCACGATCATCCTGTCTGATGCAGTACAAGTCAATGCGATGGCAACACTACCTGGCAGGCCGGCTCGAGTTGCACATTGGCTTGCGACGTGCATGCGCCTCGGCTGGACTATCTCGATGACCAGATTGTCCCGACGACCGCCAAAAGTCCATGCGCGCGGTGAACGTGACCAAGCGAGACAGGCGGAAGCCGATATTCGAAGAGCTTAGATAGCAGATAGATAGATGGTCAGTGTCGGCGGTCCTAGCCTGCATAATTGAAGCTAGAACCGAAGAACATAATAGTGCGCTTTATAATTTCCACGCTTACTCCGAAATACTAGCTATATCTCGTATCTATTCCCGAACAATAGATAGTTGTCCGGGTGATTCTGTACGCAATCAGGCCATGGCCACATCACCAATCACCCAATCGAGTAACCATCTATAGTAATTAGAAGCATTCGACCAAAAGAGGAACGATTGATGGCTATAAAAGGCCGCGAAGTATGACTCAATGCCTCCTCCGCGTGCGGGGAACTGGTTCCAGAACCGCTTATCATCCCCTCAATCCCCGCCAACAACAACATCATCATCATCATCATCATCATCATCATCATCATCATCATCATCATCATCACCAAATCACTTAAAACTTACATACACACAATCCAACCAATCCACAAGAACAATTCCAGCCACAGCATAATGACCGAAAAAGAAACCATCGTCGTAATAGGGTACGTCTTTTCTCAATCCCAACGTCACCAAAACCACCACTAACCACCCCACCCACTGCAACCAAACAGAGCCGGTATAATCGGCCTCTCCACAGCCCTCTACATCCAACAACACCTCTCCCCATCCCAACGCGTTATCCTCGCAGCCCGGGACTTCCCCCACAGCACATCCCTCAACTACGCCTCACCCTGGGCAGGCGCCCACTATCGTCCGGTCCCCGGCTCCAACGCCCAACACACCCGAGAGGAAACACAAGCCCGTCGCACCTACGCGCACTTCAAGACACTCGCGGCCCAGGAACCAGGTGCGGGCGTCCAGTCCATCACTGGAATCGAGCACCTCGAGAACCCGCCGGCGGAGTACCTCGACGAGAAGAACATCCAGGCAGCGTATGGGCATCTAGATGGATTTGAGTACTTACGGCCCGAGGAGGTGCCGGGGGATATGAAGTGGGGAGTGAGGTATAAGACATTCGTGGTGAATTCGCCGGTGTATTGTGCGTGGTTGTTGCGGGAGTTTGTCTTGAGGGGTGGGGAGGTGAAGGAGTATACGTTTGTGGATTTGAGGGAGGTGTTTTATCTTGCGGAGAGGGTGGGAGCGGTGGTCAATTGTTCTGGGTTGGGGTTTGGTGATGAGAGGAGTTATATTATTCGGGGTGAGTGATGATGATAGTGATAGTGAAAGTGAGGGTGATTGATGGTAAAGGCTGACTGACTGGCTATTCAGGGCAAACGTGTCTGGTAAGGAATCCTTGCTCGGCGACTATCACTCGACAGAATAGCGATGGCTCGTGGTCCTTCTGTATCCCGCGCCCGTTGGGTGGTGGGACGATTATCGGGGGCACGAAGCAGCCGCATAATTGGGATCCTAATCCGTCGATGGAAACACGGGCCCAGCTACTGGCGAATGCTGCTAAGTGGTTTCCCTTCAAGGAGGGAAGTAGAGGAGAGTTCGATGTTATTCGTGATATTGTTGGTCGTCGACCAGCACGAGAGGGGGGTATGAGGATTGAACTGGAGAAGATGAATCAAGGTCAGGAGGTGATCGTTCATGCGTATGGAGCGGGGGGTCGTGGCTTTGAGTTGTCCTGGGGTGTGGCGGAGGATGTTTACGATCTGATGCGACAAGAAGGACTGATGAAGGAAAAGGCCTCGCTATAAGGTCGTCCACTTGTGAGGCTCGCCTTGCTACATCAATCTCTCACCTATGGCGCTAGAGCACGTATGCTCCGCATACAAAGCTATGATTGGAATGCTGCATGGCAGCTGCAATTGCAGTAAAAGGAAGATGATACAACTTTTCGTCTATTGTTCGTAACATTACTTATCACGGGGTGTGGTCACCATGGACACTAAAGCATATCCAAGCATCGGAAGGGCTCTTTCACACAGGTCAAGTCTCCCGGTCGCCAGCGGGTCTCTTGAAGTGGTTTTAAGATTCTTTTAAGGCTCACATTGACGGAGTCTAGGGGCCTCAGGGCCAGCATTGTCAACAGGTAGAGATGTGTGCGTGACCATTAGGATTGTGCTGGGCTAAATCAGCAAGTTTTAGAGGACATCAACGGTACACATACCTGATGCCGGGTCGGACTATTTATGGCGAAGGAGCCAATGGGGCCCAATTGCTGGGTTGAGTGTTTCCGCAAATCTTGAGATGATCATCCGGTATAGTCATGTTCTGCAGCTGGTCCGGCGCTTCGATAATGATGGCCATGAGGCGGATCTCGACGTGCCACTCAATGTGGCAATGGAACATCCAGATGCGTAATTGACCGATAAACGTCAGTTCGGAGCCACTAACTTGCAGGGAGGGAATACTTATCAGGATTCATTGCACGGAATCGAATTACGAAATGTCCCATGGGCTCCACCATGAGCGTATCTCGGCGCATGGGAGAGGCAGAAATGTTGCGGTAGCCATCGAAGAAGCCACCGTACGGGTAAGTGCGCTGGAGCACCTGGAAATCATGACCGTGAAGATGCCACGGATGAAGATTGTCATGGTGGTTGTTGAGAACGATCTCCACCACATCACCATAATTGACGACAAAAGGGTTCACATCTCCATAGAGGTCTGGGTCCAAGCAGGCCTCGGGGTCAGAATAGATGGCAGTGTACAGCGTGGGCGAGTCGGGGGCGTTATATGTCATGTTGTTGATGCTGTAGGCGGGCTTTCCATCTACTGTGGTTGGGTAGACGTCGAAGATGAATTGGTGTTGTATGGGGTCGATCAGAGGAAGGTGGTCTATCGGTGTCAAGGTCACATCGTCGAGGAAGTCCAGACTTGCATTGTTGACATGAATGATGGGCGGAGGAGGCAAAGGAGCATCCTCGTTGTACATGAGCCATGCGGTGCCGTTGGGATTGTACCCTTGAGGTGGGCTCCTTCCCTCTTGAACGAACATCTCATCAATATCGAGACCGTCCCAGATCGCATAGTTTTTGCTAGTATCATTTTTGGTGGTGAGGAGGATGTCGACTCGTTGTCCAACGGCCACACGCAGATACTGGGGTGGAAGGAAATGCGGTTCCACTGCAATGCCATCCATACCAACAATGGTCATGTCGTGGTCGTCAATGACGAGCGCATGCCCGGGAAAGTTGCCCATGCAGACAACGTGGATCAAGTAGGTCGTACCGGGCTTAACGCTGATCTTCGTGTTATGCATGTCATTGAACAAAATCGCATCAGGTAGCGGCTCTAGACCTCCATAGGGGGCATGGTCTCCTGGAACTATGAACTGATCGAGCAAGACGGGTATCTGCACATGATACCAGTCGGATAAGGTGAGAGTCATTTCCTCGTCATAGTGATACGGGGCAGGAACATTGTCGTGCACGATGATGGGTCCGCGCAACCCATCAGGATACTGACCCGGCTCGTGCGAGTGGTACCAATATGTACCCGTTTGGTTCATCTAGATCCATGGGTCAGAAGGCACAGTTCAGGTACTGATCCAGCAAGCATGCTCAGCTTACCGGAACAACGTAGCGCATGCGCTGGTTGGGGTGGAGCTCGCATTGGGTGACTCCTGGGACACCGTCCATGTAGCCATTGTAGTTCTGATGCAGACCATGCCAATGGATTCCGGTGGACTCGTTACCCAGCCCGTTGTACACGTCGACGATGAGATTATCGCCAACATCGACATCAATTTGGGGACAAGGCCAATGTCCGTTAATGCCGATCACAGGCCTCGCATACCCATCAGGTGCTGCAGTCACCCAAGTTATATTCCAATCCAGATACACATTTTTGCTCAATGCCTGTTGGACGAACCCGTACAGGCCGAGCGTTGTGAGGGTTCGGATCATTGCCGCGGCTTCGAGTATAGCATTCACCGGACGCGGGCGCAGACTTTTGGAGCAATTCCTGAAGGGAGGTCGAAAATAAGTATGTACAGAAAGTTGCTCGGACTGCTATATTATGCACAAAAACTTAGTTCAGCCCGCGGAGCAATAAGGAAAGCAACCCTTGGCGATATGGATGCCTCGTCGGTGTCGCCGCCTCGGCATCAGATCCAAACAAACATTTCTCGCATGGCCGGACAGCAAGCCTACAAATGAGCCGATCCGATGCGAGTCGTGCTTTCAGTCGCCGCCCGGGAGAAATCATTCCAGCATAGACATAGAATGCGAGCATGTAACCTGTCCTTGCTTCAAGGGATGAGGAAGGAGAAGTAGGGAGTCGACTAGCTCCTCCTACATGCAGATACCTTCCCGGTTCAGAGATGCAGGATACCCCGGCAAGAAAATTCCTGAGGTATTGGCACGCTTGTCTGGCTGTGGATAGCTGAATATATTGACGCCTAATGGCGGTTACTTCAGCTATGAAGGGGGTCAAATCTCAAGGCACTGTGCGATAGATGTCCGCGCTATTGATGCAACGGGGCACTCCCTTCAACGTCGTTATCTGTAGGATAGCCCTTGGTGCCTTCCCTATAGCTTCCATACTTTATGTTCCCCTTCTCGTGCCAATAAAATTTTGAAGGTCTGCGGCCTGGGATACATGGCCTCTTTTGAAAAAGCATATCTGCTTTGTCGAGATCGACAATAACATGGCTCAGGGACCGAGACCTTGAACCAGCGAACAATCCTTCCCCATCCAGACCGCAGCAGCAGGCATTGGAATGCGCCTTCCGCCTTGGAATCGGGGGGATGCAAGGCATTTACTTGATGAGAAGACTACCGTGTTGGAACATGCCCTGTTCACCCAAAGGCAGTACATATTTGGGTCCACCAGGTGGCTACCACGATGTTCTCAACATCAGAGCACTTACATGAAGTATTTCTAACTCTAGTTAAGCTGCAATGAGTACAACATGTACGCCAACCAATCACATCCATCCTGGGCAATCGACCGCTTCGATCTACTTCAACCGTACAGTAACACATACTTCAAGAAGTTTAGGCGCCCGAATTAGCGGTCTCTTCCCTTCCAAGTACAAACTCTTGGTTGGTCTCGAACATGGATGCCTGGGAGTCGGAGCATGATCCGGTATAGCGGAAAGTCGTCAAAATGGCACAATGCAGGCAAGGGAGTTTCAGCTACGGCCACCTAAAGCAAACTCTCATCCCAACCTCTGTCAGCGGAACAGCGTGTCAAGCCTTACCGATTGTCCGAGACCCGAGACAGACAGTGACGCCCCTTGATCCCTCAACAGCTGTGGATTGGTCAGCCCCCCTGCGTTTGTAGCCCTAAGCACCCTCGATAGTTGGTTCTGATGTCACAAGATTTGAAGGAGAGTTCATGTGCACCCCAGTCGGCAAGTTTCGCCGTGAGGACCTTACATTGAATGAGCTACGTTTAAAAGGGTTCTTCAATGCTGTCTCCCTCCTGATCTGTACATCTTCACACCGTCTACTCAAGACTGGACGACACGAGCAAGCAAACACCATGGCTCCTTGGATCCTCGGCGAGAAGTTTAACACCGTTTATCCCCACAAGGGCTCTATCAAAGCTCTCTGGGAAACGAAGTGGAAGTTTGCAGTAAGTTTTTACTGGTGGTCGGCATCACCACCCCTTGCTCAGTGGTTGGCCAGCCGTCAGGCAGTCCTTATCTAACGTAGCATGCAGTGTGAAAAATCCGTCTACCCATTCCACGACGGTGCCATCGAAGACTTTCGACCTATTTTCCAGAAGCTTATTGATGTCGGTTATCATGATCTTGCCATGTGCCCCTTATTAGCGCAAGGGTAACATGCTCACTTTACGATAGGAAAACATCAACGATGCCTACACCGATGCCTACACACAGGCTTTCTTCCCGGTTGCTGAGGCCCTGGAGAATAAGGCCTCGGCTGCTTTGAACAACAACAATGTGGAGATGGCATCTGACCTGCTCCGGAGAGCCGCTGTGGTCTACCGTATCTCCCGCTTCCCTTATGTCGATCCGACTAGAGAGGATATCAAAAAAGAGGCCTTCAACCGACAGAAGAAGGTGTATCTAAAGGCAGCTTCCTTTTGGAAGCCCACCATCCAGGAGGTCATCATCCCGCACAAACATAAGTCGGCCACCGACGGTGCCTATGTTCCCCTCTTCGTTCGTGTCCCGGAACATGCGACGGCAGAGAACCCGGTCCCAGTTGTTGTGCTAATGACTGGTCTGGATGGATACCGCCCCGACAACAGTCAGCGCACCCATGAGATCATCAACCGGGGTTGGGCGACAGTTATCTGCGAGATTCCCGGTACCGCGGACTCGCCTGCCGACCCCAGCGACCCGGAGTCGGCGGACCGTCAATGGACTACCGTTCTCGACTACATGGCGACTCGTCCGGAGTTCGACATGTCCCGGGTTGCTGCCTGGGGTCTGAGTGCTGGTGGGTTCTACGCGATTCGCGCTGCACATACCCATCGTGATCGCTTCGTTGGAACCCTTGCCCACGGACCGGGGTGCCATTACTTCCTGGACCCCGAGTGGTTGAGCCGTGTCGATGACCACGAGTATCCATTCCTGTAAGTACTGCGACCTCATCTGCCATTTCCAGAGAGACTAATGGCACCTTCGATAGGCTCACTCCTGCCTGGGCCAAGAAGTACGGCTACTCCAACCCGGAGGATTTCAAGAAGAATGGCCAGAAGAAGTTTTCTCTTCTCGAGACTGGCATCTTGGATCAGCCTAGCTGCAGACTGTTGCTGCTCAACGTAAGGCCGATACACCCTCGAACTTCCATATTGGATACTGACCCATGCTATGCAGGGTGTGGATGATGGCGTCACCCCCATTGAAGACTGCTTGATGCTCTTCAACCACGGAAGTCCCAAAGAGGGCAGGTCAGTCAGCTCCTTCCATATCTGTAACAACCTAGTACCTAACCCTCCCCTTCCACAGGTTCTTCCACGGTCTGCCACACATGGGATACCCTCACAGTCTGGTCCCGTCGTACAAGTGGTTCGAGGATGTTCTGCGCTCACCTCAGGAGCCTCTCAAGAACTAGAAAGAAGGGTTATTTCCAACGCGTCGTACATATATAAATACTCGATATATATGTGAACGGCCAACTTCCAACTGAATGATCGACAATGAAAGTGATGACTGCAATGAGAGGAGAAAATGCGTATCTCTTAGTCTGCACAATCTTTACATGTCACTTTAGTAAAACCTGCTTCTGACTGCCAGTTTCTGCCTGTCTTTCGTGAACGCAATGTCCTGACCGGAATTTGTTAGGCATTGGCAATTTGACTTTCCGTATCCTTGCCACCAACATGAAGTTATAAAAGAAGGTTCTCAAGTCAGCTCAGGGCCGTAATTTAACTCTCTCTCAGAACTAAGTAAGTGTCATGGTCATCTGAGTGATAGTCAAGCTCTTTTTCCACTTCCCTCTCATGACCCGATCTGAGACACAATTTAATAGTCACGAATTTAAGTTATCTCCAGACTCTGCTTTGCTTGATACTACGTAGCTTAAGTTTCCAAGACAGTTTCACTTCCCCATCCCCCCTTGCAGATTTATCTGTCCCACTATGTCTTTAGAAGTAACCTACGCTCAGACATGGTTTCAAACTCAATGGCTTATCCCCCCGCTCGCTTGCACCCCCTCTCTACTCTGGCTCTTTCCATCGGTCTTGATAGTACGAAATATTAATATTGTACTTGATTCTTCGAGTTGAGAACACCAACTCAGATTCTGTTTGTCACGTGCATCTATTTGTGGAATTGCTCCCATTGTTTACGTTGTCATTATCTATCGTGATTACTTCCCCACAGATAGTTTGATAAAATGGCTTTGTGTTTTATTATCCCACCTCTGCTTCAACTACCCAGCCAGCCAGCTAAAGTAACAGCTAAGTATAATACCCCGTCTCAAACATCTCATGTTCCCAACTCGCCAGGATGAAAGATGAAGTGCCGAAGAGATTGTTGTATTCGATGGGTCGGGTAGTGTAGTACTTCAACAAAACCCCGTTAACATAATCTCTCCCAATGAAGGGGGGCAAAAAAAAAAAAAAAAAAACGAAAATAAGGACTGGAAGGAAAATACAATACGTACCTCAAAAGTAGGATCATACAACCCACAATCCGCGACAGTCCCATTATACCCCAACGTACCATCCGCCTCCTCTTTCACGAACTCACTCAGCAAATACTTATAGCACTTATCAGCCGCATCCGTATACCCTACCCCATTAGGCGTCTCGCCCTGTAAATACCCCAACCTGGCACCTTTGAGCAATCCATACACGAACTGAGCTGATCCACTTGATTCAATGTAATTGCCCTCTTCCCCACCGTGCAACATAACCTGCCACCAGCATCCGGTTTCTTCATCGGCATCGTTGATGATCGTGTTAGCGACATTCCAGTATTTGGTGTAGACGTCGTCGCGCTGCGTCTCGTTCAGAATGGCGCTGTTTTTCCCAGACCGTTCGAGCAGGTCTACTAGCGTCATGAACCAATCGCCTAGGGCGCGGTTCCAGACGTAGGGACTCGCGCCGGTGGTGGGGTCGGCCCAGGAGGCGGTCTTGCTGGAGTCGTAGCCGTGGAAAAGGAGGCCGCTGGAGTCGTCGTGGCAGTGGTCTTTGAATAGGTCGAGACTGAGGGTTAAGGAATCGGTTAGGGTGGTGTTGGTGGGGTCGAAGTAGGTTTTCCACATTGAGATGAAGGAGCTCAGTGGGAAGAGGCCTTCCAGGACGCCCCAGTTGGGGTAAGGGTTCCAGTACCAGAAGGCGCCTGGATGTGATCGATAGTGTTAGTATTGTTTTCGGCTGTCGGTATGGGGGTGTGTTGTTGATGTTGATGTGGGTGTGGGTGTTGTCTGACCTTCTGAGTCGCGGGCTCTTGCGTTAAAGGCATCGTGGAGGTTGTCGAGGGCTTGTTTGTAGGTGTCGTTTGGGGCGCGGTCGTATCTAGAAATGCAAGTGTTGGAATGGATTTTGGTTCTGCGGTCAGCTAGTAGATGTGTGGGTGATAACTTACTGGTGATACATAACATCTCCTGACGCAAATATCGTCAGCGGAGCATTCATAATAAACGAGACATCCTGCACGGCGGGGAGGAGGCTTTCGGCGCCATCTAGGGCATAACTGTGCCAATCCACCTGGCCGCAAGAATCGGCATCGTAGTACTCCTTCAGACGGGTAACGGTCGACTCGAATAGTGTGACCTGGGAGATATTTGGGTAGATATCATCTCCTGGTGTGAAGTCACCCAGAATGGCATCCCGGCGGGCAATGACGCTGTCTGTCATCCAGGCCGAGTATGGACGAGTGTCTGGATCACAGCTGATCCCCACCGCAGCGGCAGGCTGGGAATGCGACAGCAATCCCGTCAATAAGGCGGCGGTGAAGGAGAGAAAGGACTGGGTCATGGTGGCGCGGGGGTGGGAAACGAGGGTGCAGGGGGGATGTGGTACTGTTGAGCTGCCATCGTCTTAAGCTTATGTATTTAGTCTGTTGAGGGGACTGAGATGCGCCATGGAGGAGAGGGACAGGACACCGCAGACGAGGAGGGAATCGTAGGACCCGCGGAGGGAGAGGACGGGGCGGCGTTCCTCGATAGTTCAATCTGGATGAAAGGGATGGTGGAGATTGCACGGGGAGATCGGTGAGCGTCAGTTGGGGAGATCGTGCACAACATTCATGAGTGAGACAGACAGCTCCTAGGCTTCCATCAAGTGGAATGTGAGCTGAGGGTCTCCGGCAGCAAGGTACAAGCCAGACCGTCGATTCAGCGTCAATGTGTTACAAAATAGTTGGGATCACTTGGTGCACTTTTCATTTGCGCCTTCAGGGCAATGCTGGCTCATTTCAACCTAAAAAAACAAACGTTCTACGTACAGATCGGGCATAGCAAATCATATCATGAATCAGTTCATCCCCTGGATAACGAACCTCCAGACCCTGTCGATGTCTCTCAATCAATCAATCTGGTATCTTCTCTCCATTTGATTCCTCACTCCGCCCCAATCCATGCCTCTGTAGATTCAGTTCAGCTGGCACCGATCCAACGGTGGCTGAACCAGGAATCCAGGTGACACGACCAACCGTTCACGTTTAACCGCAAGAGCCATCCAACCCAAGTCGCGGACATCGATACCAGGCGATCTAGTTTGGTGTATTCTCGTCACAATTCAAAGAACCCAAAGAGAACCAGCACTGTATCTACCATCCATCAACCCATTTGGCATCCCAGGTCCGGACGACGGCTTTGGACACCGTTCCCAGTGTGGGGGAGGTCCGCAACCCCTTTCGCCCAAGTGCTTTTTGCGTCCTTGGGATGTATCGCACAGAACTCAGTCGGCTCCTTCCTGTGCAATCGTCTCGTCGTTGGAAACTGGCACCGGCGTGCCATGCAGCGCCGCCAGGCGTTCCTCTTCCTTCCTCTCCCGGATTTTCTCCGTCTCGCGTCGCAAAGCTTCCAGGTTCCACGCGCCATCATCTTCTTCCTCGTCACTGCTCTCGTCATCAGCACGCCAGTTGCCCTCCTCGAACAGTGTCCGTCCAGTGGTTTCCTTGGCCTTGCGGGCCTGCTCCTCAGCAGCCTTCTTGTCAAGACGCTCCTTCTTCCATTTGGCGAATGTCTCGGGCGTGACGGGCGTCAAGTTGCCGGTCAGCTTGTGTCGCTCACTTTCCAGCCAGTCTTCGAGGGTCAAGGTGTTGAGTGGCGACTTGTCCATGAGAGCCTTCTCAGCGGCCTTCTGTTCCTTCGTCTTCAGAACGAATCTGTAGTCCATCAGCAACCGTAGCAAACATAACAAAAAAGCCCAACGAGCAAAACATACCCAGGGGGCAAACTGTGCTTGTACATGCACTTGTCACCTCCATTAGGACAAGTCCAGAACCAACCGTACTTCTGGTTCTCGACAGCCTCAATGAAGTATTTGCAGACCTTGTCCGTAGTCGTACGCGGGTTACCGTGCTTGCTGAGAATGACCTTGCGCAGCTTCTCCTCATCCCAGTCATCGATGGTATCCTTCTTTTTAGCCTCTTCCTCGGTAGCCTTCACGTCTCGAGAATCGGTGTACAGATCCTTCTTAGCCGCCTTGCGCTCCACACTTGCGTCGTGACTGAACTTGCACTTTTTACCCTTCTCACAGTTACCCTGCTTGTAGAAAACGCAAAGCACAGTCTTCGGATCCACACCGAAAGGAACCTTCTGAACCTGCACAGGCTTGAACAGTTCCAAGGCTTCCTTCTTGGCCTGCTCGGAAGCCTTCTTCTCGGCCTCTCTGCGGGCCTTCTCGGCTTCCTTCTTCTTTGCCTCGGCGTTCTTGTTGGATGCCGCTTGAGCCTGTAGCTGAGCGATCTGTCTCTTGGCCGAACCACCCTTTTTCTGTACAGAGAAATACCGGTCAGTGGGCTTGTAATTTTCTCGAGGGTCGATGATGGATGGTGGAGGGAGTGGTGTGCGGGTTCTAGAAGGGCTCGTTACGTACGTTCTTCATGCCAAAGGTCTGTACAAAATCGCAGATTAGCATTTACTCTAAAATTAAATTGATAGATTAAGGAGCATGCGAACCTTATCCTCGACCGTGGCCTTCTTCTTCTTAGGCTGGTCCTGCTGCTTCTTGGGAGGCATCTTGGCGGATTTGTGTAGATTTGCACTCCTCTAATATGTAGAAAGAAATGTAGTAAAAAATAAGATAGCGATAAAATTCTATGCCGGATATATAACTTTTGCGCGCCGATACGATGAGGGAAAGCCTCCCAGAGAAACCCAAAGTTGAGGGAGGGGGAAAAGAAAGGGAAGAAGAAAAGATGCGCCGCAAAAGGGAAGAAAACCGCAACGAAAAATCACCAAAGGAGGGGTCGACCTGACGTCCCGACGGGGTAGGTCAAGTAATCTGACGACACCTCGGCTGTCTTTCTGATGGGGAAGGAGATGGGGGGATATTAAAGATTGTCTAGATGAGGAGGAAGAGAGGGAACGAGAGGAATCAAACCGTGAGGAGGTGCAAGGTTTCCTCCACACTTTTCACGGTGTGGGTTTGCCAGTGTGGCGGAACAACTTCACATAATCGGCCTCTCCGCCAATCGAGTTGGATTCTCCTCCTTCCTCTCTTCTCGCCCTCCCAACCAAACTCCTCACCAGACAGGTTCTTGTTCTTTGCGCTTTTTCTGTTCGCCAGAAGTGACCTTGATTGTCTGGTTCGACTGCCGCTAATCTCTAGGCTTTAAATCACGCGACAGATACGCACTGCACACTACTTCATTACACTTGGTGGTGGTGTTCTACGCTGTCCGGTCGCAAGTCTCGTTCAACGGTCCGACTCTCAGATCTTCTTCTCTACGCCTGGATCGCAGTCCAGGAATGGGCATTATGAGAGAAATATTCTTGCTAGTCATCTCGTCATTTCAATACCAATAAAAGGAAATAGTTCAAAATTCCTTTTCCGTTTCCCTTCGCCTCTCGAGGCAGGCCACAAACCTGTCCAAGTGCGCCAGGTAGCTCCAAACCATGAACCGTGGTCATCAGCGGTATAGTATAGGTAAAAGAAAAGCTCAAAAGTTACAGCATTCGTCGCTCGCCGTTATTTGCTTTTTTTTGATTACTTGCTTGCGTAGTAGTCGTTGCCTATCTCAGTAGAAGGGCATAGCATTTAAGAAACCTCCTGGATCTTAGAAGACTTGGCACCCTCGGCCTCGCCCTCCTCCAGCTCGGGCATCTCCTCTTCCTGCTAATAGTGTCAGTGACTGGACTTCTTCGTCAATTGGTGAAGATTGGTGGACAATATACCTCTTCTTCCTCTCCAGGAACACCGGCATCACCGCCGAGACCGGCACCAAGCTTGGAGAAGTCAATGTTGGAGAGACCACCCTCGCCTCCAAGACCTTCGAAGCCTCCGAAGTTGTTTGCGTAGTCGTCCTCGTTCACCTCGTCTTGCTCATCCTCGTCAACCCACTGTCTCTTAGTCAGCTCTCCCTGTTCCTAGATCCATGCAAACTAGAACCAGTATCATACCTTGTCGAAGTTGGTCTTCAAGAAGTGGATCTTCTGGGTAGTCTTCAGCAGACGCGGCCAGTATTCTTCCTTGAGCTCCTTCTTGCGCAGAACCAACTCGACCTCACGGTCACTGTGGTTGACCTTGCTGTTCTCGGGGTCGATCTCGGCGAACAGATCGAGAGAGACGTGGTATTTTACGCCCTTCTTGGAGTTGCCTGTGAAAGTAACATTGGTAGGCTTGATGTCGAGGGTTGCGTCAGAACGGGCAACATCAGCAGCCTTGATGCTAACATAGAGGTAGTTGCGCTCGGGGTCGCTATCCGAAGAGCGCTGAGCCCATGTGACTAGTAAACACCCTTGTTAGTACCTCATGCTCGCCGAGATGAATGTATGCATGTAAATATAGGCAGGGCCATAATATGAGAGACAACAAGGCCGTTGTATGGCATGATGCTTCCCAGTAGCCGGGAACCCCAGAAATGATGAAAATCCAGAGCGGGGAAGGAAATGAGGGACGGGAGGGGGAGTAAACTCACCTTCGGGGTGGACCTGAGGGAGTTCGGACATTATGATGGTCGATAGCGGATAGGATGGGTTTGTTTAGAAGGACAGAATGTAGCAATCTCGTCAGAAGCGAAAGAAGGGAGGTGATGGGGGAAGGGGATGATGTCGGGGGCTAGACGGATAGTGAAGTTGCAGCAGCAGGCGGTTGCTCTTAGCTGCTGATCGCCGGCGAGTCACTAGTAATGAATGCTAGAAAGTACTGGAACTCTCCCGCCGCCCGTTTGTTCTGTTTGCGGCCTCTGAGTGCCTGAGGCTCAACGCTGCCCAGCGACGTCACTGCCCCCGTCCATATCTGGCTGACTCAGCCGCCGAGTGGAACAGCCAGACATCCACTCCATCCATCCATCTTGGAGCCCAGGCACCGCAGCAGCCAGCAGCCATGCAATAGTCCACATCCGGGTTGGTGCGCCTCTACCACACGTTTCCCCGCCAGCTGGCTTCATCGGCTGTATTTCTCCATTGTCGGAAGATCAACTGCCACTTTCTTCACCGCATAAGTGTGTGGGAAGACCCTTGACCACCTCGATTTCACACCCCGCCGTATTGCAAGGTCACTTCAGATTTGACCGATTCAGCACCCTGACAAGATCCCACCCGACTGTTCCCGCTTCAAGCCAAAGTAGACATTTTTGCAGCTATAGATATCGATCTGTGAACCCGTATCATCCTCGCGCCAGTCAGCATGGAGACCCTCAAAGCAGTCTTTTTCGGGCCGGATCCTCAAACACAGGCAAGTGCCTATCCTAATGAGCGACATGGCGCGCTGCTGACTGTGATTGCTGTCTCTAGATGAGGAAATGTAATCAGCTTATCCGCGCCAATACCCGACAGTTGGATCGTGACATCGCACAACTGAAGACTCTGGAAAGCAAGACACGACAGTACATCATGAATTCATCGAAGCGGGCCCAGCGCAATCCCTCCCAGGCCAAGCAGGCCAACACGGAGGCTAAGACATTTGCGCGAGAGCTCGTTCGCATTCGCAAGCAGTCCACCCGTTTACACACCAGTCGCGCCCAACTGCAGAGCGTTCAGATGCAGGTCAACGAGGCCTTTTCAGTTCGGAAGATTCAAGGCAGCTTGAAGAAGTCGACGGGCATCATGAAGGATGTCAATACATTGGTCCGGATGCCCGAGCTGAATGCCACGATGCGTCAGCTGTCGACGGAACTGGTGCGGGCCGGAATCATCGAGGAGATGGTCGATGACGCCATCCCGAACAACGAATTGCTGGAGGAAGAGGAAGATGAAGCAGAGGAGGAGGTCGACAAGGTCCTGCAGGAGATCCTGCACGGCAAGCTGTCTCAGGTCGAAGGAGTTCAGCCCGAGAAGCCATTGGAAGAGGCTCCAGAACCGGAGGACGAGTTCGCGGATCAAGAAGCGACACTCGAGCAGATGCGGGGACGCCTCGAAGCCTTGAAGAGCTGAGGAACATTGAAGACGATTGCTTGCATCTGCGTCTTGGCTTAAGTGACAAGAACAGTGGATTACATGATGCCACTGAATACGGGTTTCTTTCCTTTCATGTTGTGAACGGCGTTTGGGTAGGATGGCGGGCGTCTTTGGGATGATCGTAAGTACCGGTTGAGCTTATTTCGTCCTAATGTTGACTACGGGACTGGCCCTTTATTGGGAGCTTTGAGCGGATTGAGCTGTTTCTGTTGATATGAAGAATTTTCCCCGAGAATATCCCTGCTCGTAAATATACATCATCATCTTTTCTTCCATGCAACTTCGGGTTCGACTGGGCTTTGATTGCTCTAATTGAGTTTTTGGGCAGCAGGGGCTCTTGGCGGCAGCGGAAGGTTACAGATAAGCGCGAGCTTATGAGTCTGGACTCATATCTTTATTAGAATGAATATACGAGATTAGATTGCATAGTTGGATAGCGTTGTCACATTAGCTTGCAGTAAGTTGTAGATGAAGCCATGATCTGCTTGGGCACAGGCAAAAGGGAGGCAGTGTTGTTTGCAGTGTTGGCCCAATGGGCCCAATGGGGATTAGCGCGGTGGGCAGGTGGCTCAGCCTTTTGGGAAGAAGATCCGGCTGACGAACTGAAAGGGAACTGAACCTCCCGCCTTTCCCTTTTGCTTATCTTCTCCATCCCTCCTCCGTTTCCCTTCCCTTTCATCCTCCATCCATCCATCCTCTCCATTCCCGACATCTCCATCAACCCACCTTGCAGCTTTTATCTCCACGCGCTGCAATTCACCAGCAAACGCGACATTCTCGCTTCCTGCCCGTCGTCCAGTTTAATCTGCCAGCTTCTGGACACCGTTGCCTCCAGAAACAAGCCCGTCCCAGCGTCGCGATTCTCCGTGGCGCAACACCTGTAACACTCAACACTCGTGAAATCTCATCACCTACCGACACCCAACTCTACAAAGTTTCATACTCCGCTTCTCATCATGTCTGCCAAGTTGGACAAGTCTCTCGACGAGATCCTCGTCAGCCGTCGCCAGGGCGCTCGCCGTCGCGCTCGTCGCTCGGCTCCCAAGGCTGCCAACACTTCTGTCCCGGTCGGAGGTGTGAAGAAGACCACCAAGGCTGCCAAGGCGCCTGGAAAGGCTGTCCAGAACGGACACCCGGTCTCTACGGAAAGCAAAATCATGGTCAGCGGCTTGGTGAGTATCCATCCTGCTCTAGATAGATGACCATCTACTAACGTTTCTAGCCTTCCGATGTGAACGAGGCCAATATCAAGGTATGTTGATCGAAAGGCCTTGGCCTTGGGTTTCTATCGCCATGTTTTCTTCTCGAAACCTTCGAGGCGCAACGGCTTTCGCGCGCGTTTCGATCCTTGCCACGTTATCTATATATATCCTTATATCACCGTCATGGATTCTTGGTCTTCAGCATAGGCAGCAAACTCAGAAAACTTCGCATGCGGTAATTGCACGCTGGCACCCTGCGAGTCCGCCGAAGTTGGAGTTCTGCCGTAGTCTTGCGAAAGGCGTGTTAGCTCGGGCGGATCTTCCAGCCATCCGCCTTTGAAGCCACGCAGCAGACTGTGCCACTGATGGTTGTTGAAACACACCATCTTTTGAAACCAATCCGATTGGCTACACCCGTACAAGTTCCACATTTCGAGGTGTCGGGCATCAGCGAGCGCATCAGCCTACCAGCAGTGACCGACTAGTTCGGCAAGTGATCAACTGTCAAGCATCATGCTACCGGCGGTCGGTATGGGAAATGTTTCGAAGCCGGGCAGGAAAGACGCATCTTCCCATATCACCTCCGTGAGACAAATTATGTCTTGTTCTCCCTATCATGGGCTGCTAGAGAGATTCTGGGGGAACAGAACCATGGATTTGCCGCACACGTAGCCTTCGTGTTGTCTGTCCCCGGGCAAAGGTTGTTGGCTACACAGTCCGTAGCTTCTAAAGGCCAGCCCTTTGTCTGGTTGCGAAAAGTTCGATGACGACTGCTAAGTGGGTTGGTTTGGAAGCGGGACACACGATACAGTGAAGGCTTTCGAGGGAGTTCATCGTCGTGGTTCTTGAGATAAATGCTAGCAGCTCTGTGCTCCGGATATGACAGTGTCTCGGTGTTCTGGAATGAACGGCCATCCGCTGATTACTACTAACCGCCGCTGTGTGCTCGCTGGTGCTCATTGGTATCGCGTTTGAAGCCGGTGTCACGCGTTCTTCGATGTTTTGGCTCTTCGGGATTCCTTGCGCCTTCTACAATCTGTTGGCTCGACATACTAATTTGGTCTCCTGGTATAGGAATATTTCACAAAGTCCGCAGGTCCTGTCAAGCGAGTTATGCTCACTTACAACCAAAACGGCACGAGCCGTGGTATTGCCTCGATCGTGTTCAGCAAGCCCGACACAGCTGCCAAGGCTGCTAAGGACTTGAATGGACTCCTCGTTGATGGCAGACCCATGAAGGTAGGCTTTTCCTTCACGATCGCTTTTTTTACGTATGGACACTAACGAGTACTAGATCGAGGTTGTCGTCGACGCCTCCCACGCTCCTGAGGTCCCCGCCCCCAAGCCTCTGGGCGAGCGCGTTGCGTAAGTGTTTTCTATAGTTATCTGCTACTGGGGGATCATGACTAACCGCGATGAAGGCAAACCAAACCCCAACCGAAGCCCGCTACCGCTACCAAGGCTGCTGCTGGTGCCAAGGGCCGCAAGGGCCGTGCTCGTCGCCCTAACGGCCGTGGCAACCGCCCTAAGCCCAAGACTGTGGAGGAGCTTGATGCTGAGATGGTTGACTACTTCTCTACCACCAACGAGAATGCTGGCCCTGCGGAGGGCAACGCCCAAGCAAACGGTGCTGCTCCCCAGCAGCCTGCCGCTAACGGCGGCGAAGACCTCGGAATGGCGGAGATCTCCGTAAGTTTTGTCAACCAGTTATTGTATGAACCAGAGCTAATAAACTATCTAGTAAATGTCCCATCTAACATCTGACTCTACATGACGGCGTGAGTCAATTGTATCGACTGCGAAGGGCCAGGCTTTGACTGGCCACTCGGCCAATCTTTACGCACTCTGGGTCTGCCGGTTGGATTCGAGTTTCAAGCTTTCGTTATTTCATCATTGCTCTTCGGATATGTCTTTCTAGTTCGCTCTGTTCTTTTTTCTTTTTTTCATAATGTCGTCAGTGCTACTCGGATATCGTCGGTGGGATGGGGAAAGCCATGTACTTAATATACTTGCTCAATTGAAAAACAGCAAGCACATGTTTCATTGTAGTAGGCAATTGCTGTAGACCGTCTTAGTCATAGTTGTGGTATTATTGTGTATGTTGTGTATGAATGTGACATTAGTTTACAACATATAAAAATGAAAGCAACAATGTGTCAGTAATCTCTAATTGCGGTGGATGTATTCGTTAGAAGGAAATGTGTATTATTACTAAACTGTCCAGCTCTACTATCACCTGATATTCCTACGTAAGTAATAATAAGGGAAACATGGAGAATTGACCATACCACTCTATAGTGATCACAACAGTTAATGGTTCGATATTTTAGATACATACAAAACCCACCCACCCACCAACAACAACAGACACAATCATAATAACAAAACAACCATAACCCCTATCAACTCCAGGTCCCATTTGCAGGCCCGAAATACCCAACCTCCGGCATAGACTTATACGCAACGCCCTCCCCATCCGCAGTATTAACATAAACAGTATTCCCCCACCAATCGGGAAACACCGCGCCGGGATACGAAATACAAAAGAAGATGACGATGCCACTAAGAGCAAGACCGGTATCGAGCGCAGCAGCCAAAATATAGTTGTATTTCTTCCACCAGGCGAAGAAGCGCTTCTTGATGAAGTGGTTGAAAGCGAAGTTCACAAGGGCCCAGCTAGAGTAATTGATACCCGTGGCGGGAGGGACGTTGTAAGTTCCGACGAAGATGAGGGGCCAGTTGATGTATTTCCAGAACTGTTTGCGGGTGTATTTGTAGAGGAAGTAGGTGATAAGGGGCGCGATGGCGCCGATCCAGAAGAAGTGGAGGAGGGAGGAGTAGATGCGGCCGACGGAGTAGAGACGACGGGGGCCGACGAGGCCCCAGATGACGGAGGAGGAGTAGACGGTTCGGCCGTTGGGACAGGTGAACCCGTCGGATTGGTCGGAGGAGCAGATGTCTTGGATGTGGCCGAGCATCCAGATGGTGACGCCGGCTTGGGTGAGGGCGCCGAGGATGGTGGCGAGGCCTTGGGCCATGAAGAGGGTGCGAGGGGGGATTTTGAGGTAGTGGCCGAGTTTCATGTCCATGGCGAAGTAGACACCTTGGCCGACGACGTCGGTGCTGAGGATTTTGAAAATCATGTTGGCGAGGGGTTTGCCTTCGAACATGTAGCCGCCGATGAATTCGGCGAGGACGTTGAGTTGGTTGGCGTCGACGTTGGTGATGCCTTGGATGATGCCGCAGGGGATCATGTAGATGGCGGGGATGATGAGGCCGAGGAAGACGCCGTAGACGGGGAGTTTAGTGTGGTAGACTTCGACCATGACGATGGCGATGGCGGTGATGATGGCGATGATGGCGGCGTACCAGTACCAGGGGGTCTTTTTGTAGGATCTCATTAGACGGGCGTGGATGTCGAGTTTGTTTTTGCCTTTCAGGGCGGCCCAGACTTCTTTGCCGTGCCAGACGCCGATGTGGGTGAGGACGGCGGTGATGGAGGCGAAGGATAGGCCGTAGACGAATGCGTATGTTGCGGGTAGGTATGGGGGTGAGTATTGTCGGTAGGCGTCGACGTCTAGGGTGTTGTCGGCGCTGATGACACGAGCTGTGTCGTAGACTGTTCCGGTGCGGTCGTAGACGTCGGCGGTCATCAGAGGGAGATAGGCTGTGAACCATGTGTTGGAATAATAGATTCCTGGAACGACGATCCAGAAGAACAGGGCAAAGCCGGCGAACACGTTGATGGCCGCCCAGGATGGTGACAGCAGGGGGTTCGTGTTGTAGGCGACCTGGCTCCAATCGAATGTGATAGGACTTAGTCCGAGGCCAGTCTGCATTCCGAATAACTGGTTTACGACCACATTGCGAGGAGCGATCCAGCAGATCCATGTGAAGTAGGAAAGGGCAGTGAACATCAGCCCTGGGAAGAAATACCATACGAAACCACCTGCGGTGACGTAGAGGAAGAACCGCAGACGGGAAATCTTCCAGCCATTGGCGACAGTGTTTGCTCGCGAATGGAGCGTCTCCAGCATGGCACAGTTCGAAAGGACCTGGGGCCAGATGATCCTTGCTGGCTCAACTAGCCATGGTGCAGCCAGACCGGCCACTCCGAATCCCAGCAGCTGTGCGCAGAGGACCACGAGGACAGAGAAGCCAGCTGAGAGACCGAAATTGTAGAACCTGGCGCTCGATGCCTGGATGATATTGGTGGAATCTGCGCTTCCATAGCCGAAAGATACGTTGCTCATGATGACGATGAGAGCATGTTCTTTGATGTTGAAATGGCGATCTGGGTTCAGGGTGAACGATCCTAGACGTCCGAGGCTTATAGTCCACAAAGGCAAGACTTTGGCCAGGAAGACGCCGCACGGATAGGCAAGTAGCTCTGCTACCAACGACACGATATGAACCGACGGGTACCGAAGGGAGAAGAACTGATTGATCCCCGATCCAACGATGGTGAATATAAACCCAAGCACCCACATGCGGAATGTGTTAACGGGCAGGCCTGGGTCGTCCGTCTCAGGGACGACGGCGCGTACTAGGCGTGTCACCCATTAGATGGGTCAGTGTGTATGTGAAAGGCCGCATACCTTCAGGGAATGGCGAATGCTCTGATTCATAGTCAAAATCATTTGGCTCCTTCTCTTGTTCAGAAAGGTCAAATTCCGGTTGTATTTCTTCGAAGCCGCCTTGTTGCACCTCGACGTCCGTGCTGACTTGCGGGGATTTGAACGATTTCTCATTCAGCTCTTTGGAAGCCATCTCCGCAGTAGTCATCTGTCAATATGACCCTGAAGCCGAGTTGATGAAGGCGGGATACCGCCGACATCGCAGGAGGACATAACCCCTCCTTTTAAGAGCAGGCCGATCAAGAGAAAGCTTGAGTCCTTATCGCCACGCGTGGTGTCTTGCAGCACCTGAGCGTCGTTAGCGTCTGGGCAGGTGTAACAAAGCCGATAAGAAGCATGTCGGTAGTGTCTATCTTGATAACGGCCGAGGTACCCTGCAATCAAACCCCCGGAATGCGGAGAAGCTGGCCTCGTGAATTGTAATGTTACACAGCTGAGACAGAAGCCCGAGGCATGATTTGCGAATCGTCGGATGCGATGTGTTTTTGTCACATCAGTCAGTTGATTCCTCCTGAGAATTGTATTTTCTTTGCCACATTCCGAGTAAATTGAGAGTCAATGGTTTTGATAAGGCGTGCATCCTTCCGATTGGGAAACAAGACCGATAGCGTTATCGCAGACGCGATGCCAAGTTCGGCGGGGGCGAAACAGCGATAGTGTTAATGCAAAGACGGCTCGCAAGCTAGGGCCTAGATCTCACTTGTGCGTGATGCTCTTTCTCTTGGACTGTGGGACCTCAGTGGGACCAATGTTTACAGCCCTATCTTGACGATAAATCTTTTTGCTTATTGGCGGTCTTTCCGACTGGCTGGCTGCAGTAGTAGCGAAGGAAGAGCTCGATAGGGTGATGCTCAAGTCCATCAAACTCTAGCACCTTGGTGTATTGGATGACAACCCGTTTTCCATTATGGTGTGCTTGCAGAATTCGTCCTTGCTTTCTATTCAGGTAAGATATAGCCAGAATCTAGGAAGTATTTGTCAGATGTGTGTCCAGGTTGAAAAACAGAAGCGTTTGTGAATGACTTACTGGCATGATCGAATGCCGTCTGTAACAGTCCAGCCCTATGCGGACAGCCATGACTCTCATAATGGCCTTCACTTCGGTCACTGTGAGCCCCTTCGTCTTGTCTACTTGAATATTCTGACGGATATCGCATACGGCATGGGGTACTTCATGCTCCAAGTCTTCTAGTATACGTAGTATTTGCCAGCGTTCAGTAGAAAGCTTTTCGTCTAATTCGAGGCCTGGTTGCTGCTTCCATTTTCCCTTGCTAGTGGCTCTATACTTTTGTGTTAGTTAAGCAAACGGCTAAGTGGAAGATTCATACGAACTTACCCACACTCTCGAAGAGTGGTGAGGCTGTCCAAGCAGAACCCTTTGCGTACGGAAGTTGCATATTTATCTCGGAAGAGGTCAAGAATAAGTGGGCATTGAGTGGCTGTGCTTGAGGGTGTATTTCCACGTCCTGTATAGCCTAAGCTACCTCCATTTGAGGTATCCTTGCAAAGCTGCTTCGAGAGGCATGTCCGTACCGTGTCAGTCGGTAACGGAGAGAAAAAGCACGGTCTGAACTTGATTATATCTTTGCTATTCAAGTGGACTTCAGATGCGTCGATTTTCAGCTTCAATAATTGCCATGATTTTAGATATCCAGCTGAGTATTCCTCGATCCCAGCATGGGTTGCGATAATCTTGTCCTGTATTCTCTGGCGCTTCGCTTCTTGTGAGAGGTGAAAATGGAACACCGCCATCTTGTTGTCACTAGTCAGTTTGTGGAGGGAGAGATTGAGGCTTTCAAGTGGAGAATGAGTTCTTTGATGCATACTGTAGGAGGCTGAGGTGAGCGAATCAAGTGTTTTAATGTGTTCGATATATGAATAGTGGAGAATGGAATCAAGACTAGCGAGATGCAAGAAGTCGAAGTGGACGAATGAAGTGGTATGATGTATGTTCGTTGTCCTTTAGTGAAGCTGGCACTACGCCACTATTACAATGTCAGCCCTTCTGATCTCAAGTGCCAGCATAAGCATTGAATCATACCAGTTCTTAAATGCTTTTGATACCCTCGTTTGAGAGGAGTACAGAAATTGCTGGCACGATAGCGACTTATCTCATAATCTATATCTAAATCTAGTAGCATAATTCCTCTGAGCAGGATTAGACAAAGGTACCATATTGTATTCTATTTCCTCTGTTGCTGGCAGTTGATAGAGGATGAGCTCATCGTAGAACGTGATGGACGTGATGAAAGTGGTGTGATATTTGTTGTGTAGCCGCAACGGTTTCCTTTCTAGGAACATTCTCAACCGAAACATCTTGGTCAAAAAGACAGATGAGTATAAAGACAAGTTTTTTCTTCGGGATGGTCTCACTCATAGCAAATTTGCGAAACTCTATCTTGGACTGGTTGTGTGATGTGGCATTAGGGAAAGAGCTGCTTGGTGGGCCGATCCAGGGGGGAAGAACTCTCCGTGGGAGCAGGTGACCGGTGAGTTCTACTATACTGCTCTGCTACTATCCGCAGGCCTACTTTCTTGGTTTATGGATGGCCTGGCTACGAGAATGAGATTTTGGACTGGCAATAGTCGAAAACAGCTTTTCATCAAACGCTTTGGCGAGTCAGACATTAAATTCCTGGCAATAAACATCCCTGGTGATCCGATAAACAGTTTAGAGCACATTACTTCACCCTACTCATTCCACCCATACACTTGATCGCAAAAGTAGCGCAAATATTCGTACTCTTCATGTTTCTCTCAGGTCTCTGGCTAAACTAGGAACTACTGAAGACGATAAACATTTGCGCTATTATTGCAAACCGCTGTCCGATCAGTAGCAGCTTCCCTGATCCCCAAAAGCACTGAAGACAAACGGTGACAGTACTAAGCTCATTCATGATAAACCGATAGAACGGATTAATCAGATCATTCTTCGTCCAGGCAGAGTCACAGAAGAACGGATAGAGGGTCTTCACAGGCTATCTCCTCAAGAGCAGTAAGGGCACCATGTTCTTCAGGTCCAGTGTAGGTCACCTTCGTCTGACTGTGGTCCATGATTGTATTACGATTCCAAAGAGTGACGAGTGAGGTGCTCTAGACTCAATTAGCGAGGGCATTAAAGACTGAAGGGATGGACTCACTATCGAACCTGTGTGCACGTCCCAAGACAGATCTACCTCTTCTAGGCGAAAGTATTTCCGCTTCAAGTCGCGCAAGAATCTCCGCCACCAGGTATATCTGAAGATAATATTCTCCATAGTCAGGACCCGCAAACTATGGCAATACCTATTCAACTTTGGCTCAAGCAAGCGATGGCCCATGCCCGTAACATTGTGTAGTTTGATTACCGCCAGAGGTCCAATTCGAAAATACTTACCTTCCAAGACATCATAAACGACATCTTCTGCATAGGCTTTTCCAAGATCAAGTGAGACCTCATTTACTCCGTAGGGGTAGGGGGTATATAGTGGAAGTAGAAGTATTTTATAAAAGCCACGGCTGATTGCTATGTTTGCGTTGACTTTGAGTGATATGTCGGTAACTCTTAAACTTCCATAGAAGCGATCAGAGACAGCATAGGACGGGAGACTCTCAAGACCGCCATGTAGAAGCGAGGGTAAGTTATCTGTCCTGAAATCTAATGTGAGCGAATTTAGGGAACTTTTAGTCTCACAAAACGCGTATAGCACTGAGTAAGTCATGTCAATAGCACCCATCCATGCTAATTGATAGTCTATGTGCTTAATATCCACTGCAGAAATCCGGAGAACGCGGCATTGTGTGAGCTTTTTGACGACTTTTCGCAAGTCTTCCGAGGCTTGGGACTTCAGGGGACACGACGGGAGAACACGATAACCAAGGCCCAGAGGTCCTCCAGAAGAACTGCATATTGACAATTCTCTAATAGCTGAGGCTTGCTTTTCGGTGAGCGTCATCAACTGCCGCACATGCCGCCGGGAAAGGTCGGTACAGATTGTATGAAGATTGATCTTGTTGAGCGGGTCGGCACACACTTGGTAAAACCTTCGGCAGGTGAAACGCAAGGCGCAAAGGTCCAAATAACCAAGATATGAGAAGATCAGATGATATACCTCGAGTGGGAGGTTGTCAAGCTTGGTTGCATCTTGGGAAATGCGGGTCGTGACACTACGCGTCACTACTCGCCAACGGTGAGTACGGGATCTATTACATGACATGGATGGTACTCACTGTAGACACGTCTAGCATTGTCGAGAGCCATCATAGGATGGTCTGATGACAAGTGTCTGTAAAACTTGGGTGGTATCGAGTTGCCTGTTTCCAGGAGGTCAAGAGATTTCCAGGGCTAAGGATTCTGAAATGAACGTGGATGTACATCGAGGATACAGAACAAGCTGCAGAGAGGAATATGGCTGTCTCAGAACTGGTGCGTAGTGCTACTGGCATGGTTACCTAACGATGAGTTTCTAGGTCAAGATGACGAATGTATGACTTTCAAATGATGGTGCACGTCGGACTTAAATTTGATGATCCTTCTGGGTCAACCAAGATGGATGGTGTATTATTCATTGATTCGTATAATCTATCATTTTCCATTCTGGCTTGCAAGCCAGGCTTCGTGGGCCTTCTTCTGGCGCTCCCAGTCTTTCCGGAGCTTCTTGCTCTTACTCTTGGCGAGAGGCTCTCCCGCAGCATCTTTCGTGGGAATGCCGTCTTCATCCCAGGCGCTGTATTCGCTCGTGCGGAACATTTCCACGGGATTGAGCTTTCCTTTCTCGAGCCGTTCCAGGGCAAGCTTCTCTTGCTTCTCCTTCTCTTGCTGCTTCAACAAGGCCTTACGAGCTTGTTCCTCACGGGCCTGCAGCATATCCTTGGTGACAGGACGGACGAGCGCGGGCTTGTTTTCGCGGTCTTCCAAGTAAATGCCCAGGTTGAATAGATCGACATTACGCAAGCGATCGCAGAGAGAAAGTATGTCCTTGGAAGCCTGCTTGGAATCGTCCAAGCTTAGCGAGGCTAATTGAGAAGTGAAATTGTCCAGGACTTCGGAGTAGGGCTTGTCAGAATCGGACACAGTTGCTTCCTTGGTAGCAGAAGTGTCCACGATATCCTTCACCTGCTCAGCGGTGATGGGGGTTCCAGACATGGCAGCTTGGCGCAGAGTGTCACGCATGGCGGACAGTGGGTATAGGAAACGCTTGGCTGCTTCCGGAATGTCAGTGCCTTCCCAGCCGATGCCACAGTTGTCAGGAGAGGCCGCGCCATTCAAGCCAAAGATAGTGACAATCTGGGTGACCCATGTACCCATGGATTCAACCACCTTGAGATCCAGGGTTTGGCTGTCAAGCGCGTTGAACGTCGTGACCAACTCAGAAATGGCGGCCATGACCTTGGGAGTGTCAAAGGAGTCACAGAAGTATTCGTGGACCTTTTCTTGTGTGGACTTGAGGGCCTGTGCCAAGGTCTCGGATGAAGAAGTCGGCGCCTCGTCGGAGGACCGGAAGCTAGAGGGGTCCTTCGCTTTGACAAAGAAGTTGTTGAGCTTTTCTTCCCAAGAAGAGGCATTCTTAATGAGATCATCGGTGATCTCGACACCATCACGCCACCCACCGAGCAAGAAGACGATTCTCAAACTACGAGGAGTGTAGTCACCGCGCTCGAGAGCCTCCTTGACAGTGGTGAAGTTCTTCAAAGATTTCGACATCTTGGAACCCTGGATGGACAGGTGGCCCATATGCAGGAAGTAATTGACCCACTGCTGCTTATGCTCGCACCAGTAGGCTTCACTCTGCGCAAGCTCGTTGTCGTGGTGAGGGAATGCAAGGTCAATACCACCGGAGTGGATATCAATCTGGCTACCAAGGCAGCTCGATGCCATTGCCGAGCACTCGATGTGCCAGCCTGGCCGTCCTTGACCCCACTTGCTTGACCAGCTGGGCTCACCCGGACGGGATGCCTTCCAGAGGGCAAAATCATCTGAAGACTTCTTCTCGGTTGCTCGCGACAGCGCGCCCTCGCCGTCCCTCAGCAGAGGCTGGTTGTTGCGGTTCCAAGGCTCGAGTCGCGCATAGTGATTTCCAGCTTCTTCGAACGCCTTGATGTCGAAGTAGACGGAGCCATCGGAGGTAACATAACCGAACTTGTTCGCGACAATCTTTTCGACGAAGTCGGCAATCTGCTGGCCGTATTCCGTGACTCTGGTCACAGCATCGGGGTCGAGGACGTTGAGATCCCGCATATCCCTCATGAAGTGATCTTCGTACTTCTTCGTCAATTTCGTGAAGATCTCGTGTGCATCGCCAGGAATTGTAGACCCCTCCGTCACATCGAGATAGAAGCAGAAGACATCCTGGGCGGCGTCGTAGAAAGCCTTGCTGGAGGCAGCATCGATGCCCGAGAGCTTCTGGTCGGCCTCCGCAATCGCCGACGTCGTGGCTGTCACAGTCTTAATGTGCATCTTAATCTTGACCTCCGCATCACCGGGCTTCTTGTCTGCCTCCAGGGCCCCTCCCTGCAGCACAACTCCATAGACCTTCTCGGCTTCCGCGACAAAGTTCTCGGGCTTGGTTTCGGGATCGACCAGGGGAAGGTTCTTCTTGATGTAGGCGCTGTATGCTTTGCGGGCGGTTTCGAGGACATCGGGCGTAACGGTGGGGTGCTCGGCAATGTACTTGTTGAACAAGTGCTGTTGTCTACCGCGCAGGATGATCTTGGAGCCAGAGTCAATACTCGAGAAGCTATTGTATCGGCGGGGTAATGACACATACCTTGTCATCGACATCGGTAATGTTCATGACAAACTCGACGTCGAACTTGAAGTAATCCCTGAGGATTCGACGCAGGATATCGGTGCTGACATAGTTTCTGGCATGACCCAGATGCGCATCGTCGTAGACTGTCGGACCGCAAGCGTACCACTTAACTTTCCGGCCTTTGGGGTCCAATGGCACAAAGGGCGTCTTAGATCTGGTGAGGGAGTTCCATACTTTGAGGGAGGGCAGACGAGTGTCGGGATGAGCAGGGGGTTGCTGCCAGGGAGGCTGTTGGCGACTCTCCATGATGGCCGAGCGAGAGAACCGGCGTGATGAAAAGAGCGACCGGCAAACGAGGGGTAATCGTGGTGGTGGCATAAAGTGTCTGGATGGTTACCCACCAGTTTTTCAGCAAATTATAACGACTTGCTTTGACGGTCTGCCACCGATTGGCTTCACCGCCGTCATCCCCGCTTTGGGTTGGGTCTCGTGACTGGCCATGACTCATTCAGGCACAGGCCATGATTGGTTTAGTTTGATGCCATCTACTGTTTTGCTTGCAATCTATAC